ATCTATCTATCTATCTATCTATCTATCTATCTATCTATCTATCTATCTATCTATCTGTTGTTCACACTGAAACACAGGGGATAGATTTGATAAAGTCCAATATTTTCTCTTGAGGAAGACAAACTGATCTACTTTTTATTTTATTTATTTTTAATAATTTTTATTGAATTTTACACAAAAATAACACAAATACAAAACAACCCAACAAAACAACACAACTTACACCATTTGCCGTATTGTGACATCGACTTTCCCAATTTTTATTGAACATATACATATACACACACACACACACACACACACACACATATTTCTTTGTTTATATTATTTTTTATTTTTACTATCCTAGTATCCAACCAGTTATACCATTTTTTCCAGACTGTATAATTTTCCTTCTCTTCCCTCTCTTGTAATTCCAACATGAGTTTTACCATTTCTGCACAGTCCATATTTTTTTTATGATCGTACTGTCTGTGCGAGTACTATCTAATTTCCCAACTTTGGGCATAGGTTATTCTTGCTGCTGTTAGAATGTGTTAAATGGTATGTTGAGCAGCGCATTGACTGATGTGACTGGAAGGCATGTACACTACACATACCTCGATTCAGAACTTGAAGTTATATTGAACTGAGGAGGAGCCGTATAGAGAGGTGGAATTTTAGCAAGTTCTGACCAGTTCTGGAGAACCGGTAGGGAAATTTTGAGTAGTTTGGAGAACCGGCAAATACTTGCTCTAACTGGAGATTTTACAGTATCCTTCCCCTGCCACGCCCACCAAGCCACACCCACAGAACCGGTCATAACAAAAATTGAATCCCACCACTGGCCGTATAGCAATATAACATGAGAAGAGCCCCTTCCCTTTTCTTCCCCAAAACTCAGTTGTAACTGTAGCTTGGATAATCCAGAAAATAGTACCCGAACTCATAAAATTCCATTAAATTTCTAAACAAAATTAACTATGTCCAAACAAACACCATGTTGGGCATATCTACATAAGCTTGTATAATACATACCGTCAATTAAGACCCATAGGACACCACCGGGATGCAATAGAAGAGAATATCTATCTATAGTTCAGTCTTGGATTGTGGGGTTCTTGGCATTCACTGAGCTTGATTGTTTACTTACAGGCATTTCGTTACCCAGTTAGGTAACCTCCTTGATGCAAAACGTAACTTCATGTTGTGTGAAGCCAGCCACTCTGTAGTGGGTAATCTTGTCCTGTTCCCATGTTTTGGAATCACACTTCCTTGGTTCTCATGTTTTTATCTATTCCAGACCAAGTCTGCTTTTATTTTCCCAAAGGTGCTTTTTCAAGGGGCAACTGGACTTGATTGTTGTGAGGAGAACAAACCCATCAGGACTAGATTCAGCAGTCCATCTGCATTCAAAGTCAGAGACCACTCTTTTGAGGACAACAAAGTCCACATTTTGGACAGAGAGGACCGCTGGTTTGAAAGAGGGGTCAAAGAGGCCATCTATGTCAAAATTGAACAGCCCCCACTCAACGGACTGGGAGAGATATGACATCATCTATCTCCAGTCTATAACACATCCTTTCAACAGTTCCCAAGATGGCTCCACATCCATTTGCACCACTCAGGTAACCCTGATGACACAGATAAAATCCAGGTGGCATTAATGACTCACTAAAAGAATGCAAATGATCAGCCATCTGCAAGGAGTATAAACACTTCCATTCCCTGCCATCCAGTCAGAGCTGAAGAAGCTTCTGGGATGAGAAGCGAAATGTCCAAAGAAAATCCAGAAAGTCCCAATTGCCTCTTGTAAAAGCACCTTTGGGACAACCATGACAACCTGGATGACTGAAAATCTCCATAGACACCTGCTTTTATTTGATTTTGGTCCAAATCTTCTCTTCTCTTGCTATAGTGCCTTGTCTTCCCCATATTACTGGACTCAGGGGAGAAAAAGTCAGACATCTCAATCATACCATTGTTCTTTTTGTTGGATTATATAAAATTTTATTAAAACAAAATGGCTACTGTGTAGATTTTACATTCATTTATACAAGCCACTTGATCATTTCACTAAGCCAGGTGTTGCTGCAGCTGTTGCAAAAGGACTAGAAAGATGCAATCAACTCTTGTTGATTGCCAGATACAAAACATTTTTTTGCAGAGTTCTGGGTTCAGTTCATGACATCTCAGGACAAGAAAGATCTTTAGAATAAGACTGCATAAGAGCTTCTCAATTCCAGCTATGTAGCTATTCTTATTACATTTTTTTCTAGATTATTGTGCCTTTTCACAAATATCAGCAAGATTGTATCATATATATGAACATACAGAAGTTATTAAAATATTAGATATTAAAATAACATTGTGGTTAGTGTTCTACTGTATTTCTAGAATTGCTTTATGGCTATATAGCTGTTCTTATTATGATTATTTCTGGACTGCCTTTCCACAACTATCAGCAAAATGGTGTGATATAAATCCACAGGCAGAACTTAATAAAACTGTTAGTTATTAAAACAACATTGTGTTTGGGGGAGGAGTAGTGTATTTCTAGAATGGTGCTGCAGTTTTAGCTGATTGCTGGTGCCTATTATGTTATGTGTGACATGTGCTTTTCTTCTGGAAAATATCTTCTGGATATTTTAAGGGCTAAAGTGTGATGCTGAGGTTTTTTTCAGATGCTTTGCACTGCTCTGAATAGCTTCTGTAAGGGTGGTGTAGAAATACTCTTTAAAAGCCACCACTAGCAATTTAATAGGCTAGGTTTTAAAAAAAAATATTGGGTATATCTCAATGCAAGGCAAGTCTCATCTTACACTAAGATAAACTGCTTTGATATAAAGCAGCTTCATGCACAACGGCTGGATTCATTTTCTATGTTACAGTATGATTTGGTTTGGTTTAGTCAGATCTTCTAAAGCAGCACAATGTGCGAGCCTAGCCTTGTAGTGGTAAAATCTGGGAGAATGTCATTCTAAAAAAAAACAAAAAACCCCAAAGCCAAGTGTTGGCCATGTCTACAAAGGGCAGAAAACCTGAGCAAAATTTCTCAGCTTCCTGCAATTCAGTTGATGCTTTCAGAAGTTGTCTGCCTGTTTGCCTGTTACTAGTCATTTTGAACTTTGTGATCTGTGTGATATGCAACCACAGTCATATGAATGAAATGTGCTACATGTCATGCTATTTCATTTAACCGTTAAAGACAGATTTGGAATATCATTGAATATGCAGTAAGTGTGTGTGTGTATATATGTATGTATGTATGTATATGTATATGTATATATGTGTGTGTGTGTGTGTGTATATATATATATATATGTGTGTGTGCGTGTGTGTGTGTAGTGTGTAGTGTGTATGTATGTATGTATATGTATATATATGTATATGTATATGTATATGTATATGTATATATATATATCACCATAACCACTACACCAAGTTGCCTGACTATCTATCTATCTATCTATCTATCTATCTATCTATCTATCTATCTA